TTAAGATTACACAGTTTTCCAGAAAAAATCCTTAGTTGCTAGAACGAATAAAAAAATGTGACTTTAAAAATGAGTATGAATTTAATGAAGGTAATTGATTAAAGTCAGTAGCTTTATCCAGGTACCATGTGAATTCCAACATACCACAAACAACATACCTCAGTAGTGACCTGAAACACCTATGTCCTATACCAAACTATACTGTAGTTTTGCTAAGAAAATAAAAACAGAGTGCAAGGAAAAGGAAGTTACAGACATAGGCTTGCAACCTACATTAGGATTTGAATTTAGGCCCCCACAAACACTACTTCACACACTTACCGTGGCATCTAATACCCCTGTATACAAGAACCTTCTCTTTTTGTCAGGTCCAACTGCTACCTCAGTTTCCTTCTTGCAGGTAGAGTAGTTTGTCTCTCTAGTCAAACTGAGAAGCTACTCCTCTCTTCCACGGTACACAATTCAGCTAAACAACAGAACCTTGGGGCTCTTTATAGCCCACTCCAAAGAAACCCATCTTCTGAAGACCTACAAGATTTTTATACACCAGAAAGAAGCACAAAAGGGTAGAACTCTCAGGGACACTTTAAGTAGTCCCTGAAGGAACCAGAATATTCAGAGAACTGAAGCACAGTTTCTTGTATTGGTTTCAATACATAAACAAGTGCATTATTTGTTCATATGTTAATGAATTTCTCTCCCTCCCAAATCATGTGTTACTAACTGCCATCCTGAATACTGGGGTAGTAAAATATTCACAACTTGGAGAGAATTATTAATTGTATTTTCAACCGCAGCCCTTTTAAGAGATTTGCCATTAAACTCACATTTCGTAATATGCTCATAATTTCAAAGCAAAGCAGTATCATGGCTCAAATAAAAGATTACATATTAAATATTTGCATATTCCCAGGCCTTAATAATGTAAAGTTGGCTGTTGGGTTTTTTTAAGCTTTAAGTTAATGTAGCAAGAAAAGCAATCCACATGAGGGTGTTAAAAAAAAGGGGTGGGGTGGGGAGGGAGAATCCATCTGCTTTGAATCTAAGGGTGTGTCTACACTTTGGAGATTACATCGGCCTAACAGTGTCAGCACAGCCCCATAGTGCAGACACAGGTTACCAAACAGAAGGCATTTTTCTGTCAGTGTAGGAACCTCATCTACCCCCAAAAAGTTAGCTACATTGACCTAAGCCCTCTTCTGTCAACATAGCTATGTCTACACTGGGGTTTTTGTAGGCATAGCTACATCAGGTGGAGGTGTGGCTTTTTCACACCCCCTGAGCAATGTAGCTATGCCAATGAAACTTTTCCATGTAGACCAGGCCTAAATCAAAACTGGAGGTCTTTCTAAAAGGTATACTCTAGTTCAAACACCAGCTATCAAGCTAGATGGAGGAACTGTTAAGCCAGCCAAGGGACCATTAATTACTATAATTAGAAAATGTCTGAAGCATTCTGCTAGTAGAGTCGGTCAGAACTGTAAATGTTTTCAGTGACAAGCTGTCAAGATGGTCTGCTAGGAAACACAATGTAATAATAGTCATTTCCACTTATAGCCTTTTTGTGTAAAGAAAGAGTACTATCAAACTGACTGTTGGTTTTCATTCATCTCAGATGGTTCAATTTGGGATAGCCAGTTACTGGCACATATCAGTTTCAGCTTTTGACAAAAGTGGTTACTGTCACCCTAACACTCCTTTTACATGTGCTGAATCAAGGATGCTTCCATTGCAAGCCTGGTGTTAACAAGGATTTTGAAGCAGGACAGATATAGCCATTCAGATTTGTAAAGTAGCATGTCAACAATACTAAAAGCCACAAGGGAATGTTGTGTATGGGCAATATTACTTGCAACAGATGGGGCACCACATAATCCTAAAACCAAGCAAAAGTAAATAGTTTTGCTGATTATAATTTACTACAGAGTGATACTTTGAAAAGACAGCAGAGATAGTCAAATCACCCAATATTTAACCTTGAATAACTGGAGAGCAGAGGCACAGACCCAACCAATCTCTAACGTATTGCAATCTAGGTCATAATCTAAGGTACTTATACATTCCCCCATCACTGTAGTATCAGAGCATCTTACAATCGGATGTATTTATCCTCACACCAGTGGTGAAGCAAGGAAGTGCTATTATACTCATTTTAGAAATGGGGAACTGTGGCTAAATGCAGGAATTCTGTGGTGCAGCATGAATTTGGACCCAGGTCTCCAAGTCTTAGGCTAGTGCCCTGCCCACCGGATCATCCTTCCCATCTGCCTTCCACTTTATCATATATATGACAGTGATAATCCACTCACCGTGTGCATTTTAACAAGTATCCAATATTTATCTCTTTATTACTTAGTGCATCTTTACTCAGTTTGCCATACATATGAGCACCTTATTTATCAATATTATGTACAAGGACAAGAACATGTTTTGATCACTTAAAAGTAAAACACGGTTTTGATACCAATAAGAACATAGTGTAAGCGATCATTTACCTGAGTTAACAGTGCAATATATAAATTCAGACAGTATTGCTAAGACATTTTACAGTAAAGAACAGTGTTTCAAGTAAAAATCTATATAATCAGTACTTAGGATGGTAATAAATCAGAGCTATGAGGAAAGAGTTCTAGGTTAACAAAATTAAATATCTAATATGTACTGTTCACATTTACTTGCCTCTGCAATAAATTAATATCCTAGCTGAACTGTAAATATTAGCAAAAATACAAAAGCAAGAAAACAGTATAAAATTCTTTTGCCCCAAATGCATATACCATTCAAGAAATATTTTGATACCAAGAGTCAAATTTTAATGCATACAAAATATTTTTCTTTTTAAGAATTTAAACTTATTTATGAATGTAAATAAAGAAGATTGATGAATTAAACAGTCATATCCTCATATTGTTTTATGCAGTAAAACTATGGATCTCTTCTTTGGAATATCCAAGATCCTGCAGAAACCTGAAAATCAGTAATCAAATTTGTTACTTCGCATGTAAGGAAATATGAATTGCAGAACAGTAAAGCTAAACAGTTTGCAGTTCAGCAACAGTGTCTCTTTTTACCAGAAGATGACCTTCTGAAATCAGTCTGGCTATGCAAATACATTAAGAACAAACTCCATGTCCATACAGAAATTCATACATACTGCATAAAAATACTTAATATGATGCTATATTAATTTCTAAAAAAACCCAAGAATGTGTAATATTTTGAAGTATTTCAGATTTAGTTCCCACTGAAAAAAAAAATACAGAGATAAAATATATTGGTCAGATTAAATATTTTTAGATCTATGAAACTGCTCTGACTTCAACAGATGTATCCAGCGTTGATATTTGGCCCACTGTATTGAGGATGGATATGCTTGTTTTCCTTGCATCTTTTCTTTTTTATATTCCATAGATTTTTAGTATAGCTATAAAATGACTATAGCTCAGGGGGGGTGAAAATGACTATAAATGCACTGAAAGCTTTAATGTTTCTACAGGATTTTAATAGAACAACTTCTTCAAATTCAATTCTGACTCAGCTGACACTATCAGAAATTGGCACCACTTAGACAGCTCTTTTCAGAAATTCCAGTATATCAGAGACATAATCCCATTTGGAAAAAGTGATGAGTTTCAAAATTCTCAAACAACACTTAGATCTATCAAAACGTGTGACGTAGCTACAAAAAATAACTGGAAAGTGATATTTTGCTAAGAGTAAAAGCTTTAACAACTTGGTGAAACTTGGGCTGTAGTTAATATTGGCATGAATGGATGTTTCTATAAGTTTTAAGCTAATATGGTCATAAAATTTTAGTAACCTATATTACATAAAAAGAATGGCACATAGTATGCAACATTAGTTTAAAAAACAAGATTTTCCCTATGATTGTATTCTATCCTTTTCTAATTATCTATTGCTTAATAAACACAAACATTTACAAAAATGGTTTTACTCGCATATAAGGAAAATTCGAAGTCCCATTTTAGAAATTCTAAAAGGGGGTAAAATTATATAGTTCACCTCAGGCACAGGAATAATTATTTTTACACTCACTGTATTCCTTGCTCTGTGAAAGGTGCTGGACCGCAGACACAAATAAGTACTTTGGAGTCTTTTTTGCTTCTTTTCACAAACTCAGAAAGGAGAGATGAAGAAATTTTTCCCTGTTTGCCATTCCCTTCTTTTTTTGGCTCTGAGAGAATAAATTGAACCTCAAACCTGCAAAACAGGAGGAAATGTAAATATATTGCTTCCATACAGACATCTCTAGCACTATCAATGTAGCTCAGGGTAGATAAAATCATAGATATGTTTGTTGCCAAATTTTAAAGAAAGTCAAACCACTGAACTGGTGGAATTTACTGGCTTAGCACCTGGAACCAGAGTTTGTTGAAGTGCTAAACCATCTTTTGACAGCAGTAATCTCCTGCAGGTATAGAAAGAATATTTTCTTCATTTCACTTTATTCAACTAGTTCAGTTGAATGACTAGTTCATTCAAAGTTGAGAAATCAACTGGGAGCTGAAAAAGATGTTTTCCACTTCCTCTTACACATAGTGTTTATTTATAGCTGAGCTTTACTAGTTCTAAACCTTGAACCACACAGTGGCCAGAAACAATCTGTTCCATACTTTTCTTTAATAAATCGGTTAGTTTTGCATGCAAAACGTGTTTTCGAAACATTTTTGATAAACTCTTTTTCCTTTTGTATCCAGCATATTTTAATTAATAAACACAATTTTACAATGCTGTTCTTGTGCATTTTTAATTGACTTTGAATTTCCATCCAAACAGAGCTTGACGCAAATCTCAAGTAAAAAATTAATCACCTAGTAAGAAATGCATCATTCACCATTTTCTAACATAAAAATTAAGAACATGAATAAATGTCAGTTAAACTACGTAATTGTTTAAATCAATCATAGAATCGTAGGATTGGAAAGGACCACGAAAGGTCTTCTAGTCCAGTCCCCTACACACATAGCAGGACCAAGTATAGACCAACCCTGACAGGTGTTTATCTAACCTGCTCTTAAAAATCTTAGAGCACAGAGATTCCACAACCCCTCGTGGCAATTTATTCCGGTGCTTAACTACCCTGACAGTTAGGAAGTTTTTCCTAATGTTCAACCTAAACTGCCCTTGCTGCAATTTAAGCCCTTGCTTCTTGTCCTATCCTCCTTGTAACAACCTGTTATGTACTTGACAATTGTTATGTCCCCCCTCAGTCCTCTCTTCTCCAGACTAAACAAACTTAATTTTTTCAATCTTCCCTCATAGGTCATGTTTTCTAAGTCTTTAATCATTTTTATTGTTCTTCCCTGGACTTTTTCCAAATCTTTCCTGAAATGTGGTGCACAGAACTGGACACAATACATAAGTCCTCGGACTTAGGTCACAATTGGTTCCTGAACACTGCATCATAAGTCAAAACGTTGTAACTCAGAACCGCAATCCACTCCATGGCGGGACTGAGTGTTGTAAAGTCGAAACCAATTGTCTTAAGTTGAATCAGGGTGTCAATTCAGAAACGTCCTAAGTGCTGTTTGTCATAAGTCGAATATCGTAAAGTTGAGGATTGCCTGTACTCCAGCTGAGGCCTAATCAGCGCGGAGTAGAGCAGAAGAATTACTTCTTGTGTCTTGCTTACAACACTCCTGCTAATACATCTCAGAATGATGTTTGCTTTCTTTGCAACACTGTTGATTCATATTTAGCTTGTGATCCATTATGACCCCCAGATCCCTTTCCACTGTACTTCTTCCTAGGCAGTCATTTCCCATTTTGTATGGGTGCAACTGATTGTTCCTTCCAAAGTGGAGTACTTCGCATTTGTCCTTATTGAATTTCATCCTATTTACTTCAGACCATCTCTCCAGTTTGTCCAGATCATTTTGAATTACAATCCTATCCTCCAAAGCACTTGCAACCCCTCCTAGCTTGGTATCGTCCGCAAACTTTATAAGTGTACTCGCTATGCAATTATCTAAATCATTGATGAAGACATTGAACAAAATTGGACCCAGAAGTGGTCCCTGCAGGACCCCACTCGATATGCTCTTCCAACTTGACTGTGAACCACTAATAACTACTTTCTGGGGACAGTTTTCCAACCAGTTATGCACCCACCTTATAGTAACTCCATCTAGGCTGTATTTTCCTAGTTTGCTTATGAGAAGGTTATGTGATACAGTATCAAAAGCTTTACTAAAGTCAAGATATACCATATCTACTGCTTCCCCCTATCCACAAGGCTTGTTACCCTGTCAAAGAAAACTATTAGGTTGGTTTGACATGATTTGCTCTTGACAAATCCATGCTGTTACTTATCACCTTATTATCTTCTAGGTGTCTGCAAACTGATTGCTTAATTATTTGCTCCATTATCTTTCCAGGTACAGAAGGTACTGACTGGTCTGTAATACCCCAGGTTGTTCTTATTTCCCTTTTCATAGGTGGGCACTATATCTGCCCTTTTCCAATCCTCTGGAATCTCACCTATCTTACATGACTTTTCAAAGATAACCACTAATGGCGCAGATATCTCCTCAATCAGCTCCTTGACTATTCCAAGCTGTATTTCATCAGGACCTGGGGACCTGAAAACATCTAACTTGTCTAAGTAATTTTTAACTTGTTCTTTCCCTATTTTAGCCTCTGATCCTACCTCATTTTCACTGACATCCATTAAGTTAGATGTCCAATTGCTACTAAACTTTTTGATGAAAACAAACAAACAAAAAAATTTATATAGCTATAATGTATCTTCCTGGTTAGCAAAAAGAAGCACCAAATTTAGTTGCAATTCAACGTGTTTAGATGGTTACCAGCCAATGAGAATCAACCTTTCTTTTGGAAAATAACTAAAAGTACAAATGCAAAACAAGATTAAAATTGATTAATTAAATCAAGGTTTCTTGCTCATTTAAATCATGGTTAAAATTGGTGATATAAATCACTGATTTAAAATAAATCCACTCTGATGCATTTTAGAGCTAATGATTTCCATGACATACTTACCTCTTCCACCCCTAAAGGCTGACTGCCAAGACAGTCACTACCTGACAACAACACAGGATGGGAAAGAAATCTGGGCTAAAACTTTGGCTCCACTTCACAGTAGGACAGTGAGTTATTAGACAGGGAATGGCACCTACTAAGCCAGATGTTTGCCCAAAACCATGAGTCTCCATGCCAGGAGAAAGGGAAAAGAGCCTTTTAAATAGGAGGCTTAAAACTGGAGTTTTCTTCCAGAACTTGAGGGACAGTCTCAGAGGTGGCAGGCTGTCTGAATGCTGGATCCTCCCCATGGCTAGGGTGTAAGCTAGGAAACTGTTCAAAGGCAATAGGCAACTAGTATTAGAAAAGGGATTTTATCTAATACAGAAGTGTAAAGCCTGAAGTTTCGTCAGTTTATTTACTGTATAGCTTGTATGTTTGCTCTCCCTTATTTCATCTTTGAATCTTTTTCTATTAAATAAACCTTTTGTTTATTTTTACCCCAAGCAGGGTTTGTTATGCAAGCTCTGTGGAGTGTGGGGGCCCAAGTGAACTGATAACTGGGGGCTAGTTTCACACCTTTGGTGGTGACAAACAGAGGGGGAAAGTCCAAGTGTCTGGTAGCTAAGAACTCAGGAAGGATGGATTTGAGGAGGCTCAGGACTAGAAAGGCTGATGGTGTCACCCTACAGGGAGTAACTAGTCTGATGGAAGCCAGGGTGAGGCCTGTGCTTGTGGGCAGGCTACTGGTGTGCGGGACGTGAGCCACAGTAGCACAGCATTAAAGCACTCTCAGGTTATAAGGCAGGCAGTGACAGAACCTCTCACCTGTCTGGGTGACCCCCAAAATCTCACAGTTACAAGTAGAAATAAGTAAAATCTTAACTTTGGATTTCTAAGACATCATTTGTGGGTTTTCTTCCCTCGAAAACTCCCATTCTCAAGGGTTTTCCCTCCCCACCAAAATGAAATGCCTTAACTCCAGGTTAAACTTTTGCCTGAGAATTTAATTAGGTTTGTTTCAACTTTCTAACATTTCATAATTGACAGGATTACTGTGCAAGTTGCAACCTTCATAACAACTTCAACTTAAAATCAGTTTATAGGTAGATACCATCCTTGTGAAACGAATTTGCCATTTGTAAACCAATCCATTCTGCAGTTAAAATGCACAAGTTAGTAAAATGTCCATGAAGTGAGCTTTTATTCAACCTTCCATTATAAGGTTCTCTCAACCTTTAGCTGGTAGAAACTAAAATATCTCCACAATGATACAATCATAGTATGAAAGTTTGTAAATCAGTTATTCATCAAACTGCTACTTAGTTTTAAAAGGAGTGTATTTTCTATTTAATTCTCAATAGCTATTATAACCAATTACTATGAACATAAAATTTTTTAAAATGAAAGCTACTCAGTGACAAGTTGCCTAATTATTTATTTTCAACATTTTAAGTGTAAGAATAATTTTATACTTTTGTAAATTAAAAAGTACTTAAATTGGCTTTTACTAATTTATCAATATATTAATTACTGTCATAATATATATTTAGTATTTCACAATCCACAATAATTTGGATGTACAGATAACACCTAATGCTGTAAGCCACTTACAAACTATGCACTTTGTTATAGATAAACTGAACTCCAGAAGAAAAATCACCCAATCTACAAAAAAAATTAAAGAATTTCCCCCATGCCCATTCTATACCCTGATCAACCTATCCGGTCAGGAAAAGTTTGCAAAAATAGTCCTTGCATTGTGCATCTTAGAACATACACTTGCAGTAAATGTCATGGCACAACCCTGATCTGCTTAAACTGCGATTCTCCTCCCTGAAAAGATACTGTAAAAATGGCATTGTGAGGCTGACTGTCACAACTGTTTCCATAACAAACATGTTTTATAAGTAATGATTTTTCTTATTACCATCCCTGAAAATTCAGCCTGGTCTCTGATAGACATGTTGGATTCTTTACATCTCATACACCATATCATTTATAAAGTTCTTCAAGCCATGTTATGCCTTTAACTCCTGTGGAAAGCCACTGCCTTCAAAGGATTTGCAACTAACTGAACAATTCTGTTGAAGGTGCACATAATGGAATAGAATCTGCAATCTGCTGTTCCATAGAGGTGTTCTTTTTCAGCGCTAATGAAAGTAGAAGGCAGTAAAACGAATTTTCGGCACTAAGTAAATACTGTTCTGAATACACATGGAGGAAAATGTCACCGTAAAAGTGACACCATATTTGGCATTTTCAAATTAAGAAAAACTTTTTGTTTGAGTTAAGCTTACTACTACCACCCTCTCTCCATGAGAATCTACAGCAGATTGTTATGCACATAAAATTCTCTAGACCTCAGAATGTTCTAGTCCTAATTAATCAAGAGAACATCGGAGCAAAGTAACCCCCTGAAGTTGATAATGTTCAACTCATTTTTCCGCTACATTAAATCCCATCTCCCACTTCAAAAGTTTAAAGAAACACATCCCTGACGTTTATCTTATTTTACACATATTCCCAGTTTAATCAAAAAATAAATCAGGGGTAGTCTATTTTTTGTCAAGGTGAAAATTTCTTCATTAAAGTATAGCCAAGGTCCAGACTCCAGAGAAACATTTTTCACACCGCAATAATGATACAGTAAAAGCTGTTTTATCCAGCACTTCACCAAGCAGAAAGCTCTATAAACCAGCATTTCTGATCTTCACTGAAATGCCGGTTTACAGTCCAGTTGGTGCGGGGCTGGCAGGGGCTTGGGGTGCCGGATCTGGGGGGCCACTCACCTTGGGCGGCTTCCCGCAAGCGGCGACCTGTCCCAGCTGCTCCTAGACAGCTCTGCGCCCTGCCTCCACCCGCAGGCGCCGTAGCTGAAGCTACTGAATATGCTCTCGAGTCAGGATTTTATCCATTTAGAGACTGCTGTGACAATCTGCATATGGCACACAACAGGTGAAGCGAAGAACAAAACAATTCAGTTCTGTCCAGACCAAAGCCTAGACATTGCCTGACATTTAATGTATGGAGACACTGCTCCTCCAGAGATGAATGTAACTTACTTGAGAACTCAGGTAAATATAAAGCCTGATTCAAAATGAAACTGAGAAACCACTTTATGGCTACACCCCAAATTTTTGTCTAAAGTCACTTTGTCCTTAGAGAATTGTGTGCAAGCAGGCTCTGCCATTAGAACCTGCAACTCAGACTCTCGTTCTGGATGTTATCGCTACCAAGAATGCAGTCTTCTGACACAAAAGCGGAAAGGGACAAGATGCCAGGGGCTCAAATGGAGGTCCTATTAAAGCCACCAGGATCATGTCAAGGTCCCACAGAGGAACCGGCTTTTGGACCGGATGATGGAGACAAAGAAGAAGCCCTTTTAAGAATCTTGCTGCCATGGTATTGGAGAAGACTGATCTTCCCTGCATGGGAGGATGAAACACTGATATCCCTGCCAGATGCACCCTTAATGAGCTAAGTGCAAATCCCGACAACTGAAGGTGCAGCAAGTACTCCAAAATGTCCTGAATAGAAGCCAGTGTCAGTTGAACTCCAACAGCCAGTGACCACACTAAAAACCGCTTCTATTTAATTGAATAGGCAATTCTGGTAGAGGGCTTTCTATTGTTGAGTAGCATGTGTTGGAACAGCCACCGAACACCATTCTTTTGCATCATTCAGCCATGAATCAGTCACATCATGAGATGTAGGGAGCTGAGCATGGGATCCATGATTCTGAGCATTGCGGCCATGATTCTGAGTGAGTAGGTCAGAGTGGAGAGGAAATGATATGAGAGGCTGAACTGACAGTGCGAGAAGGCTGGAGAACCAGCACTGCCTCGGCCACATTGGAGCAAAGAGAACGAGCTTGGACCAATCTGTCTTCAGCTTGTGGATATCCTGTAGAATCATTGGGATCGTGGGAAAGGCATACAGGAGAGCCAACTGCCAGCTTAGATAGGATGTGTCAGACAGGAAGCCCAGACTGAGGCCCCCTCAAGAGCAGAACAGATGACATTTCCTGTTGTCCCTTGTAGCAAACAGATCAATTGTCTGAATACCCAAAACTGCGAAGATGACCTGAAGGACACTTGTCTTCAGAGACTATTTGTGACTTGGGAAAAATTCCTGCTGAGATGGTCCATGAGATGATTCTGGACCCCAGGGCAAGTGATCACCTATCGGAGTGATATTCTCCTTGATGCACAACTGCCACAACCTGATTGCCTCCTGGCAGAACATGCTGACGTGTGCTCCCCCTTGCTTCTTCACATAATACACTGTGGTGATATTTTCAGAGTATTTGAACCATTGAGCCCCTAATATAGTCCGGAAAAGCATGAAATGCATTTTAGATGGCCCAATATGCAGTGAGGACTCCTACTCCGACCCTGAGCTTCAAGTGACCCAGCCTATCAGGGAGGCATCACTGACAACTGAGCTATTGGCAAGGGCCAGGCAAAGTGAATGCCCTGGCAAACCTTCTCTAGACAAGTCCACCACTACAAGGAATCCAAGACCAGTTGAGGAAGACAGATCAATCCACCCAGGGGATGAAGAGTTTGACACTAAACTGTCCTGAGCCACATTTGGAGGGAGTGAAGGGGCAACCTTGCATCCTGGACCACCTACATGAAAGTGGACATGTGGCCCAAGAGCCTCAGGCACATCTGAACTGTTGTGGATGGCTGAGACTGCAGACTGAGGCAAAGATGCTGAAATCATCTGAAAATGGTTGGTCAGCAGAAACGCTCCGTGTAAGCTCGAAAGCTTGTCTCTCTCACCAGTAGAAGTTGGTTCAATAAAAGATATTACCTCACTCACCATGTATCTCTAATATCCTGGGACCGACACAATTACCACAAAAGTGCATACAAAGAAAATATTGACATTTTGCAGTCACAGTGTTCTTTAACACTCCCCTGCCCCCAAATAGAAAGGTTATAATGAGATATATATCTACACAGACACTAATTTAAGATGAAGAATTGCTAAAGGGTAAGATTAAGAGCTTTTAGGTATGCTTTAATAATTTATAATTATGGATAGTGAATGAGTTTAGATGAGGTAACATTTAGACCAAGGCCTCAGCCTAAATTTGCTTGGCAATGCGTGTAGTTTTGCCAGTTCTTCGCCTCTTACATAGATTGGCTGATTTGATTAAAATAATGCTACTTTGACAGGACAAAGGTGATATGTTATGTTGGAAGATTTTAGGTAAAAGGGAAAGTTAATTAGTATAATAAACACACAAACCGGTAATGACAAAAGTCCCCTTTTCTGGGAAAACCCAGGAGCAGGGTGACATGGAAATATAATGAAATGAAAATTCTAGACAACTAAAAATGCTTAAATTAAAGTTTGTGTATGCGTATTGTATGGGTTACATAAGACAAATGCTTAACGCTGATTGGAGAAAAGTTAAGGAATAGGTAATGTGGACATGTATGAGAATGTAAGCAAAGGAGGGCCCAAGCTGGAGGAATACCCGGCCAGAAAGTGAAGGAACTGGCCTGAAGAACCAGACCAGGGATCAGAGGCGGCGATGGCCATCCTGATGTACAGGAGAACTTTCCAGTGCTCCAGAATGCAGTAACAGGGGATCCCAACCAAATCTATTTTATATGTTTATCATCTGGCATAAATATATGTTCAGACACTGTGACAATAATTCTGTCTGAAATTTTATAAATAAAGATGAAAATTGATTAAGCCTAAATTGGGTATACTCAGTTTCCCACCTTACATTCCCAAGATGCAGATTCACTTTTCAAGTTCTAGAAACATCACCAGAACATCTCATTTAAAATGGAGTAGTGTACAGACATTATTATAAAAGCCATTCTTGAAACATGGTTCATGGAACAGCAGTGTTTTGTGGACAACTTACTAGTGATTCATGCCGACCTGGTGGATCGCATGGTACTATCTACTGATTTTCAACTGCTCAAAAGCCCAAATTCAGCTAAATATTTGAGCATATGCTTAAGTCTATCCCTACTGAGAAAGGCACATATTTAAACAGCTGATGTTATAAACAGCTAAATTAAGAGGAAAATTTACCAGCGCAAGCTTAAAAACTCATCCCCTCTACCCTTACTGTGGTGGTGGTAAACTGATGGTGTCCACTATATTACTTACCCATTTAAAAAAGAGTTACTCTCTCCAGATAAGTGGTAAATGTGGTAGAATTTATGATTGCTTTATAATTCAAATACTTCTGCAAAGATCATTTCCCTAGCCTGTTACTTTGACCATGTCAACACCTTCTTCTTGCATTCTTCCACTGGCTTCCTTTTCTTAATTGCATCCAACATACACTACTTGTATTCATTTTCCAGGCATATCCCCACCCTATGATCTCTCACACACTATCAAGATGTCAGCTTCCACCTTCACTTGGTCCATCATGCCAGTCTCCATCACCCACTTGTTACATTTTCAAACAAGCACCTTTGCACTTTCTCCCATGCTGTCCCTCATGCTTGGGAGGAGCTCCCCATAAACATCTGCAAAAACTAGCATATCATCCTCCAAAGTCTCCCATGAAATTCTCCCTTTCCATAATGCCTACAAAAAAATCTTCACAATGGTTAAACTGCTGGTGAACAGAGACCACTGTCTATCATACTGGCCAATACTGTCTCATTGTTTCCTTGTACTCCTCTGTCTTAATATCCATTGATTGTCTCATCTTATTAGATTGTAAGCTTTTGAGGGACCATCTTTGTTTTGTTTTTGTACACTACCTAGCATCATGGAGTCTTGGACTCTGACTAAAGCACCTAGGTGCTACAATAATATAAATAATTTATAAATGAAATTCTATCAAACTATTTAATACCTTTTATCTTTCAGAGCTAACTGCTCCAGCTGGTTTCTCCAAAGTATATCATCTTCTGTTTTGTTGAAGAACATCAACTTCACTGTCCTTAAAAAAACAAAACAGAACACACACACACACACACCTTCAATATCAAGCTTTTAACTATGTATGAATGTGTAGCAACAGTTAAATAGAAAGAAAATACTGCACATCTCCAGAACACATTTAATTATGCAGCTATTTAAGACCTATATTCTCTTAAGGACAAGAATGATGAATTTCACAGACTTTAGTAACAGGACTATATACCTAAAAGTTGTTCTTTAGTGTCTCAATAGTATCTAAGTGTTACTGTGCTATGCTATTTTAATATTATTTGAACATTATACACTCCATGTTGTACACATAAACTTTGAGTTTCAAAATGGTGATGATGGATTCTGGTTTCATCATTTGCCATTAGCTTTATAAATTACAGTATATTACCTGGTCTTAAGGTAATCTGGTTTTGAAGATATTTAGGTGAAAACTGGTGCTGATGAGACACTAACCCAATAGTCCAACAATGACTTCTCACTGGAACACAGTACCAATGCATCTTTGAAAATTGCAGAGCAAACTGGGCAGAAAGTATCCTGCACGTACGTTTGCAGGTATAATTATATGGTCAGATGTTCTTGGCTCTTTTACACACATTTGATGCTCCTTGAATATAAAGCAATTTGGGGACGTATTCCTAATCCATTTTCTGTTATTCCTATAGAACTGATTTCAGTCATTTACCCTTTACTTCCTCATTAAAAATGAATCTGGTTTGGTGCCTAAGCCATAAGGAGTATACTAACCTCAGACCACAAACATTAGTCAGAACATAGTTCAGTAGTTTAACCATTGGTGTGAAGCCTGTGCCTGCTGCCAATAAAAAGATATCTTCTAAAGTTTGAACTTGCGACTTCTTGAAGCTACCTTCAGAATTGCTCACGGAAATATAGTCTCCTATATAACAAAAACAGAACAGTAAACGTTACTGAAATGGAAGTCAGAATATTGGTGATCTATTCTATACAAGCTCTTATGCTGCCCTCATCACTGTAGTATCTGAGCATTTTCAAGAACAGCACTGACATGACTAATATCTGTCACACGTGGTTCATTTTCTCTCATTCTGTCACCAAAGAAAAACTGGATGTGCAATGTAATGTTTTGATAGGCTGTTTGGTTTTTTTGGTATAAATACACACAGAGCTATGGTTTAGATTAGTAATGACAAAGTTAAAAGTGTTTCTTGCACTTGGAGCAGTAGGCATTGAGGTTTGTGTTAACATCAATCACACAAAAATAAACCTAAGTTTTTTTTCCAAGTAGCAGAGAAATGGTAAATAATGTACATAGAAAGAAACTTTACAATAAGCTAGCTATAATTATTTAGGGAAAACTCTGGAAGTGTAGACCCCAATGTGATATTTTACAGTATACAGTTCCTAACAAAACTACATAGGATACGGCTAAAGGAATAAGGTTTCAAATATTAAATGTAACAGGGGTCACAAAGGAGAAACACATATGTAAGTGGGTACCAACTTGAACAGTCTGTGGTGGGAAACATACATATAAAATGATTTAGTGCAAGAAAACACTTACCAATTTGCAGGTGGTCAAGTTCTGGTGTGAAAAGCCCATTGGGATAAATTTTGATCATTAAAATTAGGTGTGTACTATCATGGTGAGATGGTTCTTTGAAATCTGATTTCAAAGAACAAGATACAGGTGTATATGGCTTCACTATCTCAGTACCTATTCAAACATAAGAAAAGCGCAAAATGAAACTTCTAGCACAAAAGAAGACTCATACCAAGTGATTTTAATGCAATCATATTCATTAAGCAGCCTGTCTACTCCTATAATTTCTCAGCAGCTGTTTCAAATTTTTAAGTTTTTTTTTTAATAAAACAGGTTTTAGCATTAAACACAAACAAAAAAAGTAAATGTAGCCAAGCATTATTTCAGATTTATACGAAATTATAAGACAAGTCTCAGCTAATTTACTAACTCCAGCTAGCTCAAGGACTAAGCCTACTACCCAGGGTAAAATGTGTTGATGTAGCTGCATCCCCACCCAGAGCCTTTCCACCCTATTTCAAACAATTACTTTATGCCGAAAAAAACCTTTATCTTAATACATAGCACCACACACATGCACCCTTCGAGGTGTGTCCCTCTGGATGCTCCACCTCAGATGCACATTTGCCTCTCGTGCCCTTGACTGGAGATTTCTAGCTAGCATTGCCCGTTCAGCCTTCCCACATGCCCTATGCCTCCTCATGGCAGACACCGAGGTTATACATGGGTGTGCGGGCAAACCTCCCTCAGTTCTTCTCTACTGAGTAAGAAAATCCTCTAAGGAACAACCGAAGCAGAGGGAAAGGAGGGCAGTAGTGGAGCACCCATAGGGACCTACATCTTGAAGAACTACAGTTACTGCGCAAGGCAATGTTTCCTCCTTCTTGTACATCCCTATTAGTACACTGTACATCAGCGTACATGTCAAGGCAGCAGGTTACAGAAGAAGTTCCCGATGTTATGTGGGATGCATTTTATTTTTTTAAGCAACTCAGTATTGCAAGGAGTGAGTGAAGTAAAGGTTTCAGCAATTCTCTACCCATTACTGTACCTAAAATATTCCTATCATCACCTCATTCATTATGGTCTTGCATAGTTAAGGAAGCATCAAAATTTTCTCCTTTTACAGAATCTTTACATCAGTGTCTCACCTTTTTCAGAACCCTTTTTAGTAAATATGCATTGGGGAATTTGAACCAAATTTCAGCCACTAATTAACATGATCTCCAATATATATTTTGTGTTTGTATGTTGATTTCCCCCCCAAAGAGTGCACCTCTGCTGCCTGCTATGCAGTAACATTGTTGACATCAGAACTAATCAGCCCCTCACTCACTCCAGTTCATTTGCATACTTGGGAAGAATCACTATCTGCCCTGGTTGTCATGGCTACCTTTGATGACTGATTTGCCTCAGAAGACTAACATTATTGCAGAGAAGGGGCCCACAAGGAACAGTAATCAAAACAGAGTGGGTTCAGATAAGCTCCTACTGTACTCCTTTGAGTCTGAACTGTAAGTTACACTGCTTCTTTTCAAATGGTAATTCTTACTTTTCTCAAGAAGGGTTACATGAAAATAAGCAACAGAACTACAGCTCCTTTTCATCTATTAGCTATGCTTCTTACAAATTGGAGGTTATGGTTTTGAACATTTACCTTTTTAAAGAATGGGAAATTATAGACATGAGTCCCTATTCAAACTGTTACCCAGTTATAAAGTCTGTCATTTAGAAGCTGCAGTAACAGCAAAGTTGCATTAAAAACGTGCTTTGTTTGCAAACAATTTAATTACTTGCCACATATTGATCAATATGGCTCTGAGTGGTGAAATACAGAGCTTCAAAGATGACAATGGCAATAAAACACATATTAACGACAACCGCCACGTAGGCCTTCTGATTTTAGGTTTCAACTAACAAACACAAAAACAATACTGTACCCACCATACAAAAAAGCAATTTTTTTATTCAATAAAAACACTGAAAAAACACCGGGAATGGTTACATGCAATAAAGGTTTGCCTACACAAAGCAGAAGGGGTGTGATTTCTAAAGTGCACATACATCTTGCACATTAATAGGTCCATGTAGCCCCTATTGGTTCACACTAAAGGTTCCTAGGAGCACTTTATTGTAGTGCTATGACCCTGAGAGCACCCACATGCCAGAGGGCAAAGGGCACCCCAGCATGTACAATAAGAGTCAGCTGGCCTGACCAACTCATTGTTGTCATAATCTGCATCTAAAAGATGTCATGTAAGGTATCATATGTGAACTGGTAACATGCTGGTCATTATTATCACTGCATGGTGTACGTAGGGGTGATATATGAAAAGTTATAATGTATTTGGCAGACAAGGCTTACATCACTCCACCCTAGACAAAGAAATGTGGTACCATCTGCTTGAATGTGTCTCCAGCGTAAACGGAGACAAAAAAACAATGAAAGCACATTAACATAAAAGGTAAACAAAGCAATCAAATGATTGACAGCCACTTAACTATCTCGACAGGGGGAGGAGAATGCAAAAATTAACATGGCATCAGGTCCCTGGTGGACACCTGACTTTGAAAACTGGGGCTTTGTCTACACTGGCAAGTGAAAGACAAAACTTTTGTCATTCAGAGGTGTTAAAAACACACACACACACACACACACACACTCTCTCCCCCCGAAAGACAAAAGTTTTGCCAACGACAAGCGCCGGTGTGAATAGTGCTTTGTTGGCAATAGTTTCCACACAGTGTTTCAAACTGAAGAGTAAAATCCACAGCCAAACTAGCAGGCTGGTGCCGTGTAGTGTCTTTTTAGAGGCACAGGGAACTTGATACAGTTTTGTGAGTGCTACAGTGAGAGGGGCTGAGCACTGCAAAGGAAACAGCATTGGGTAGAGTCGGGATTGTTGGTGTCACGCTGCAAGGATTAACCAGGCTGGCGGTGAGGTCACTGTACTGTAACCAGACTGCTCTGAGCCAAAACTGCACAGCACAGAAGCACCCAAGGTTACAGAGCAGGTGGTGACAACCTCTTCTGGGCTGGGTGAACCCCCAAAGTACCACAACCAGTACAACAAGAAAACTAAGGAATATTACAAAGAGATTACTCTCTTTCCAGTATAAGCTGTAATGAAAGTCCCAAAAAGCCCAGATTTTTGGACATCCCCATGAGACTCAGAAATTGCTATTAATGAATGCATCCGAAGAAGTGGGCTGTAGTCCACGAAAGCTTATGCTCTAATAAATTTGTTAGTCTCCAAGGTGCCACAAGTACTCCTGTTCTTTCTCCAAAATAGAAGCCCTAAAATGAGTAAGTGGTTTATTATTTAAATAGCACACACAAAAGATTCTCTCAAAATGTAAAGAAATTCACAAAAAGATTTAATTTAACATTACTTAAAGTTCCTCTCTATTAACAAATACATAAAAAGTAGGAAATACCAACTTAAGGATTTAATAAGGAACACAAAGTTGCAAAGTCAAGCACTAAAGTTAGGAAATGCCATTGCGAACATTGCCTTTGCAGCCTTAATTTGGCCCCCTGATGCTTATACATTATATGATGCAGCCTCCACTTGCACACAGATTGATTACCTATGAAAAGTTTGGTGTACTTTACTTGCCGAGCATCACATGATAACTCTGTGGCAGAGGCAGGGATAAAATTCAAGTCTCCAGGGTGGCATTCAACTTCCCTTTCTCTTCTTGCAGCCCACTGCCTCATTCAGTACAAGCCTTCCAACTTCTGTAACAAATGCAACAGGGGTGCTTCAGACAATAGCCTTCACTTCGCAACCTTGATTCATCCCTAGAGCAACTCCACCCTGTGCACTCAAAGAACCATGGGTCCTGGTTAAAAATAAAAAAGTAGTATGTGAACATGTAATTAATGACTGTGTGCTTGTCTACACTTAAAACACTGCAGTGATTCAGCGTAGACACCACCTACACCGATGGGAGGGATTCTAGCACTCTCTACACGGGGACTTAGATTGATTTAACTATGTCTCTCAAGAATGTGGATTTTTCACACCCTGAGAGACATATTATGTCGACCTAATTTTCTAGCATAGACCATGCCTGTGTCATAATGCATACACACATGGTGGCCACATTAAGACTGACAACATTCATTCTGGCACTTCCTAATTTAAGAACACTTGACTTTGCAAGATTTTAATCCTTTTTAATCCTTGTAAGAGGCCTTGTAATGGATAGCAGATGAAAGTAATTGTGCTGTTTCCCTTTGCCTGTTACAGAATCCAGATCACCCATATATTAGATCTGCAGGATGTATCCGATTGTCCATCTTTGACATCATGAAGGCTCAGTACAGCCACATAAGTGATGTTAGCTTCACAAACAATGCATGACTCTGCATCTATTTTTTAAAATTTAATTTTGTTATTTACATTTGCCAGACAACCCACTCAATCTAAGAGGTTTGTCCATCTCTTAACACCCTGAAAGATGATCAGAAAGGGTTACGGTCTTCATCTTCCACATCCTTGTGCTAATCTGAGAATAAGCATCTAGGGCTGGAATGAAAAACTACTTTCTATTGTAACTAGTTGTTTTGTGTTTTCTGGCTACTTTTACCCATGTTTCGCTTCAGTGTTTACAGGTGCAGTTTTCACATGAGGAGCACAGGGCATCAGGTGTTCCAAGAATAGGCTGGCCCTTTTACTTTGGTTGCCTAATTGGCTACAAAGTACCAACGGGCCACTTGGAGCTTTTTGCTTTTTTATCTTCCCTTCCCCCTTTTTAGTAGGGAAAAGGCTGTGACCTCCAGATTCTGCTATTGCTAGCAGACATTGAGAGGGAAAAGGAAAAGACGATACAGGCCCTGAGCCTTCTATTCTTTCAGCTGCTGTTACAGCTACCATTAGTTGCTTTGGTACCTCTCCTTGAGGTCTGATTTTTTAAAGTAGCTGCCCCACAGGTAGAATGAAATAACCCCCAGCTGCTGCTAGTGGCAGAGGAGGCACTTGAAGATAGAGGCTGTCTACCCCCCAAATATGTACCTTTCATTAGTAGTGAACGTATACCTCTGTGGTGAGAAAGATAGCTGCTGCTGGACAGAGATCATAAGGCCACAAGCAACTGCTGTTTGTGCTCCCTGCTGCTACTCTTCCAATTAAAGGAGTCATTTATTTTCATCCATTACCTAAAATAACTGTATACCTCTTAGTTCAGAAAAGTTACATAAGCACTCAATGCCAAATCCACTCTCTAGAATGGAGATACTTGTAGATTACTTAACTGGAAGGCTGGATTTTTGACAATGGGAACAGACAAACAGAACTGAATGAAAGCTAAGGAAAGAGTTCATACAAAAGAACAGAGTAACTGACTCCCTTGACTTTTTGCAGTTATTTAACAGGCTGGTTTATTTTAGTAATAAAACTGGATTTGAGTTCTTTGGTCACAGTTCTGGACACCTGCACATGTGTGTTTTCCCTCAGTCATCCAGCAAGGGCACCCCTGCTTCAGGCTTCCAGCTCACCAGTCCCTTTTTTTGTTTTTTTTAGGGTGGAGACCCTTCTGAGGGGGCATTTCCAGGCTGCACAGTTCCCTGCTTCATTGTTGCATCTGAAGAAGTGAGGTTTTTTACCCACAAAAGCTTATGCCCAAATAAATCTGTTAGTCTTTAAGGTGCCACCGGACTCCTTGTTGTTTCTGCTTCATTGGGTTATTCCCAGCAGACAGGCAGCTTGCTTTCTCTGTCAACAATTATAAGTTACCTCACAGTTCTTTCTACGCAAGCCTATTTTATTCTTAAGGTAAAAGCACTACAAAGAAAGCATATTTAAAAGAACTTACACAAACGCTAATAAGCTTACCAAAGATCACTCCAACCTTGACATGGACTCTGGCTGGAGCAGTCCTTCCAAACCCCACTCAAGGGGGTTTTTTTTGTGGTGAATCACTGCATCAGCTTAGAATAAGCACACTCATAACAAGTTTTGTCCACCCTTTATACCAGGGGGTTATCAAACTGGGGGTCATGACCCCTCAGGGAGGCACGAGGTTACGTGGGGGGTCGTGAGCTGTGAGCCTCCATCCCCATAGCCTGCTTCACCTCCAGCATTTATAATCATGTTATATATTAAAAAATAAAAATTATAAGGGAGGGGGTCACACTCAGAGACTTGCTGTGTGAAAGGGGTCACCAATACAAAAATTTGAGGATGGCTGCTTTATACAGTTCAGGGATCTTTGATCTGGAGTTTCCAGGGGCAGGTAATTAGTTTTCCTCCTCAGGTAGTAGCTTCAAAAGGGTGTATTTGAAGTGGATCATTTGCATTCCCTTTATCCCCAGTTACCCTCCTAGGAAATCCACTTCCTACATATTGATCTAAAAACCCCTTTGAAGTTTTTAATACCTTCCAGAGACTGCATTAGTCACTCTCCTAGAGAAGTTACATACATATAATTCCACAAAAACACATACACAACTGCATTTTTAATACAGTGAACCCCAATAAGGTTTACCTTAATTCAATAAAGTTCATTCAGGATGTTGCAAGAAATTGTCAGTTTGTCACACTGCTAATGATCAAGAAAAAACACTTTTATTAAGTAATGTTAGTGGACAGATTCAGCTATTCTTACCTGCAATAATTTGTTTGAGGTAAATGTGATGCCCAACAGGAACCTGGAGATGAGTAGTCTGTGGCAGCATTAAGCAGAAAAGTTTGGTGTCATGGGTGACTTCTGTCTTAGAAATCAGTTTGCACTTTCTGTAGTATAGCCCTAAAAGAGAAGGATTGAGAGGTTTGTTTGTTTGTTTTTAATATGCCTGGTAAAGCAGCAAAATTAGGCTCTGATGTGCAAAAAGGATTCAGAAAACAACTATATTTTTATGGGGTTTCTACATTGTGATAAATCTAATCTTGGCTTTCTAGTCTTCTGCACCTGTTAGTGGTATCAGCATAAAAGGTTTGTACATATGTACATTTCACCCATACACAACACTAAAAATTGCAGGGTGAATGTAATGGATTTTTATTACACTGTTTTAGAGATTTTATAAAAAGTATTTTGGTCTGGGAATTGAATATATCTTCCTATGTTATACTCTTAAGAACAGATCAAGGAGTTTGGGTTATCAGCTGGCATAAAATTGGGAAAGTGCAGAAAGAGGAGAGAAGCCAAGGGGCAGCAAAACAAAGGTGAAAAGGATAATGTATATGACATTTCTCTTTTAGACTGATCATACTAACAGAGGAGGTTGCTTTTATTTGGTAAGCCACCTTCCCATATATTTAGAACACATATAGATCTGTTTACCTAAGTATTTCGAGAAAATCTTGCATTTCTGGCAGTCATCCAATAGCAGTAATGGATTAATGCTGACCTTAACTTTTAAGAGAGACTTAGGCCTGGTCCCCACTAAGCCCCCACTTCGGACTAAGGTACGCAAATTCAG